TAGATAGATAGATAGATAGATAGATAGATAGATAGATAGATAGATAGATCTGTCTATCTAGCCTCATACCTCTCTCTCTCGGTCTCTCAGGAGTTTGTATAGTATTCTTCATGAGAGCGTCTAAGCTTTTGAGAGCATGAAAAAAGTCACACTTTTTCCATCAAAAATATTTGTTCATTGGTGTCATAATTTAAATTGCCAGTTTTCTTCTCCAACCCACTTTTGCAGTCCAGAACACCTGGGTCTTGTCTGGCAGCACCCTGTCCCCCACCTCAACTCCAGCTGAGGTGATACCCATTGCCTGCCTTCTAGTTCAGCCTTTCCCTGGCAGAGGAAAAGGGGAGGCAGAAGGGAGGGCAAAGCCATGGCTTTGAAGGACAGCACTCCCACTCCCTTGTCCAGGAGGCCCACAGCCCACTGAAGTCTGCCTGCTGCTGTCACTTTCACCTTACAGCTGATTTTTCCTGTACCAAAGGAGCTTGGTATCGCCTCTGGGCCTTGAAATACCCACTTTCCCCAAACCTGGTGCCCAGTGCAGTTCCCATGGCAGCCTGGGAGTTTCACTGTTGACTTAAGCAGGTCTAGTCCTATTTCCACACACCCCCATAACCCCATTGAAAACCTGAGTGCGCACAGCCATTCATGCCTCTGTTCTGAGTCTGCTTTCCCTCCTGCCTACAGTATTGTGTGTATTTCATATCATTAGCTCCTTAGTGAAGAGCCCAGACCAACCACCTGGCTAACAGGCAGGGGCCAGCTGCTATTCTGCCGCGCTGGTACTCTAATGAGACCCTTTGCCCCAGGTTTCCCTCCCCCAAGCCCGACGCCGCTATCTCCCACGCTGATGATCGCTGCCTGACAAGCCCCGGAAGCCGGGCAGTTTTATGGCCCCGGGCTACCCAAAACCCTGTGAAGTCTGTGCGATAATGGGCCATAGGGCGAGATTGTAAAGGCAAATGATTCACAGACGCTTTCAGCCGCAGGAAACATGCCGAGCAGCCAGGAACAAGTTTCACAGGGGCCGGGCGGGGAGATCGCCTCTACCCCGGATTGTCAGACTGGCGGTGCCGGGCTCCTTTCTCTCCTTCACTATCCCGTGCCTCCTGCAAAGGCTCCTTCCTTATGTTCCTGGGGAGGGACCGCGAGCCTCCCCGTGGGCCGGTGCCCTGCGGTTCAGCTCCCGCACCCACCCCCAGAGCGGGGACCCTGGTGGCAGTGCACCTTCTCCAGCCAGCGCCTCCGCCCAGCCTGGCTCCCAGAGCGGGGCTTGCTTGGGAACCGGGCGAGGTTCCAGGACCTGTCGGGCACTGGGTGACCTGCTCCCGGCGTCTCGGACACTGTAGCGGCCGGACTAACACACGCCTCCAGCCGTGGTGCCCGGGAGCTGCTGTGCTGGGTGTGCGAGGCGAGCCCGGGAGCTCGCAGCCCGCGAGGACACACCAGGCTTCTCCCTCTGCTCCTTGCAGAGTCGCCACAGCCCCTGCAGGGCGGTGCTACCCGTGCACGCCGCGTCCCGGCACGCACTGGCTCCGCAGGCTTTGCGCGGCTCAGCTCTCCAGTGCGCGCCCCTGCGCCAGCGGCGCATCCCCGCAGGGCTGCGAGGAGCCGGAGAGGTAGCGCCCCGAGATCGCTCGCGAGCGTTGGGGTTCTGTGCCCCCCAGCCCGGCGCACAACAGCCTGCTCCGCTCAGGGAGACAGCCAGGGGTCTCCGCGGGCATCCCGCACGGCAGTGGGCAAGGCGCGCTTACCTCGAGGCCAGTGCAGGTCCATGCTGCTAACTGCACCTTCCCAGCTGGGGCCAGAGCCCCGCACGCTCCCGGGCCGCCTCTCGCTGGAGAAAGTCTGAATGAAAACTTCTTGTTCCTCCTCAGAGCCAGGGCAAGACCCGCTCCTGCTGCCTCTCCCCGAGCTCGGGGTCTATGTGTGCGCGGCTAAGGGCTAGCGAGATCCCGCTCTACAGCGAGCAGCCCGGACGCCCAGGTTCCCTGCCCAGATCCGGCCAGTCCTCTCACTGCAGCCTGCTGGGCGGTGCAGGGAGCCAGCGTGAGCTGGGCAAGGCGAGGTGCTGCGGGGGCTAGTCAGGTAGGTGCTGGCGGTGGGGGTGACTCTGGGCCGGGGGGAGCTGGGGCTGCCGGCTGGCGATTTGTGAATGCAGCTCTCCGCCGCTCTCGTCTTGTGAATGGGTGAGAGGGGAGGGGTTTGCTGCTCCTTGGTACAAGCTTGCTCCCTCCGACCCCCTGTTCGCTCCCTCTGTCGTTCGCCTTCCCGGAGCTGGAGCTCTTAATGCCTTGGCTAAGTGGCGTCATCCAGCTGAAATTGAATCGGCCCATTAGAACTCCCCATAGGGCTCCGTGTATCCGCTCCCTGGATAATGACTGCAACAGAATTAAAAAAGAGAGAGAGGAAAAAACCTAACCGTATTAAGGAGGCTCCATTTCAATATTTCCGTCTGGAGAGCGCTGCCTCCCCCCCCCCCCCCCTTCCCCAAAACTGCCCCGGCAGCGGTTCTGGCCAAGGTTTACCCCCGCCACTTAACCCCTGAGTGGCTGAGCTCTGCTGGCTACCCTGATGGTCTGACCACCCTCTTTTCTCCATTTTCCCCCTTCATCTCTTCTCTTTCTCCAACCATCTTCCCAGCCTGCCAGAAACGGGGAGACTGATTACCTAGAACTCATAGACTCTAAGCTCAGAAGGGACAATCCTGATCATCTAGTCTGACCTCCTGCACATTGCAGGCCATAGAACCAAACCCACCCACTCCTAAAATAGACCCAGAACCTCTGGCTCAGTAACTGTCCTCCTCATATCATGGTTTAAAGACTTCACATTACAGAGAATCCACTGTTTACACTATTTTAAACCTGCAGGTGACCCATGTCCCAGGCTGCAGAGGAAGGCGAAAAAACACAGGGTCTGGGCCAATCTGACCCAGGAAAAAATTCCTTCCTGACCCAAATATGGTGATCAGTTAGACCCTGAGCAAGACCCACCAGCCAGACACCTGGGAAAGAATTCTCCGCAGTAACTCAGAGCCCTCCCTATCTACTGTCCTGTCTCTAGCCATTGGGGATTTTTACTACTAGCAGTGGCTGATGGGCCACATGCCATTGTAGGCAGTCCCATCACACCATCCCCTCCATAAACTTACCAAGTTCAGACTTGAAGCCCATTAGATTTTTTGCTCCACTGCTCCCCTTGGGATTCTGTTCCAGAACGTCAGTCCTCTGATGGTTAGAAACCTTCATCTAATTTCGGGGCGCATGCCAATCGCCGTGAGGGCGGCAGTCAGGCAGCCTTCGGCGGCATGCCTGCGGGAGGTCCGCCGGTCCCGCGGCTTCGGTGGCAATTCGGCAGCAGGTATGCTGAAGCCGCGGGACTGGCAGATCACCCACAGAAACGCCACGGAATCTGTGTGAACAGTGGACCGCCCGCAGGCATGCCGCCGAAGGCCACCTGACTGCTGTGCTTGGGGCGGCAAAAAACATAGAGCTGCCCCGGCGGGGGGGGAAGGGGGGGAGGGAGGGGAGCTGTGTTGGGAAATCCTGTCTGTGTTGAGCCTAAAAATTAGGCCTGAGCAGATCCCTGCTACTGACCTGCTGTGTGACCTTAGGTAAATCACTTAATCCCTCTCAGTGCCAGTTCCCTGTCTGTCAAATGGGGAGGATGATCTCTCCTTTCTTCCACCTGTGTCTATTTAGAGTATAGGCTCTTCAGGGCTCATGCTGTGTGCACATTCAGTGCCCAACAAAACGAGGGCCTGATCGTGGAGGGCTACTTCTGTAATACAAATAAGTATTAAATTAAACCTGAAAACCTGCAGCCGCAAGCACAGATGCTCATCTAAGGCCAGCCTGGAAATGAGCTCCTTCTGCTGTTCCACCACTCTAGGGTTGCCAACCCTCCCGGTTTCTCCGGAAGTCTCCCAGAATCGGGCTGTATCTCCCAGAGGCCACTGAAGCCAAACCGGGAGATTTTAGGCCGCTAAAAGTCTGGTGGCGCAGCGTGGCTAAGGCAGGCTCCCTACCTGCCCTGGCTCCATGCTGCTCCCGGAAACGGCCGGCATGTCCCTGCAGCCCCTGGGGGGCTGGGAACTGTGGCCAATGGAAGCTACAGGGGCGATGCCTGCAGGCAGGGGCAGCGCATGGAGCCCCCTTGCCCCCTCCAGGGACCACAGAGACGTGCCGGCCGGGAGCGGCATGGGGCCAGGGCAGGTAGGGAGCCTGCCTTAGCCCCGCTGCACCGCCAACTGGGAGCTGCCCGAGGTACGCGCCACCCAGCTGGAGCCCACACCTCTCACCACCTCCTTCACCCTCTGCCCCAGGCCTGAGCCCCCTCCTGGAGCCAGCACCCCAAAACCCCTCCTGCACTCCAACCCCCTGCCCTAGGCTCAGCCCAGAGCCCCCTCCCACGCTCCAAACTCCTCGGCCCCAGCCCAGACCCCACACCCTCTCCCGCACCCCAACCCCCTGCCCCAGCCCGGTGAAAGCGAGTGAGGCTGGGGGAGAGCAAGCCACAGAGGGAGGGGGGATGGAGTGAGTGGGGTGAGGCCTTGGAGAAGGGGCTGGCAGGGGCGGGGCCTTGGGGAAGGGGGCGGGGAAGGGGGCAGGGCAAAAGTGTTTGGGTTTGTGTGATTAGACTGTTGGCACCCTACAACACTCTCACATAGGCCAAGCCAGCAACGTACAACAATCTAGCCACTCCACCCCTCCAGAAAGGAGAGGAAACACTTAAATCAAAGTCTGAATGGGATCTAGACCATCCTGTCCATCACATTTCATCCTAGCTGAGAAAGTTTCCTCCCCCCTTCAAAGCTGAACGGAGTCTTCTATGCTCCCACTCATCACCTTGGCCTCTACCATTAGCATGTCAGCAGTGCAATGACAGGCTGTAAACAGGGACAATTGTGATGGTATCTCGACCCAATTTTGTATGAAATGTGTCCTGGATTGATAGCTCCGGAGACAAGAGCCCTATCTTGACCTACACAAGAGGTGCAGTATGAACAGTGCTTGCTATTTTCACAGCACACTGTCAACCCACTTCACCCCTGTTTTAACAGGAGTGCCTCTAAGGGCTGGTTGCACATCCCTTCCTGGTACCTCTGCAGAGGCTGCTAAGGACATCAGTCATGCTAGTGGCTTTTGGGAGCTGGATTCATGTCTCTTAGGAACTGGACTGAGGCCATAGCATTCACAGCCATCCCTCAAGTAGCCATCCGAGGGTAACCACATGCAGCCATTCTTGACCTGAGTTGGGTTTGAACCACTGATACACAAAGCTACGTAGGTCCTTGTCAATCCCTGAGCCATCCAGTCGCTGTTATCTAGCTCCCCTTTTGATCGTCCCCATCTCCTGAACCCTCCCCTGAGGCTGATCACTATCACTGCTGATGTCTGAGCAGCATCTGGACCACGTGTGGACAATCACGTACTTGTCGTTTGCCACTGGTGTCTTGAGAGAGTCTTGCCAGGATCGTGCAGAACACAAGTTGCATGGACTTTGAGGGCTGGACACAGGATTAATAATGAAAGCAGGGATTGTGAAAGTGAGCTGCTGGTTAGAGAATCCAAGGAGCCTGTATAAGGGTGTGGAGTATAAATTGTAAACCAGGTCCTCAGCTGGCTGCTGTAAACTGGTGTAACCCCACTGACTCCAGTGGAGCTCTACCAATTTATTTCAACCCAGGGTCTAGTCTGTATGTCCAGATTCACCTCCATGGGAGCAAGGAGGCCCAGGTTGCACCTCTAAGCAAATTCACCCCTGGGACTACTACTACGTTCCCCCAGAGGTTCTGCCAAGGGAGGAGCAGCTTCAGATTCTGGCCAGGGCTCCCCAGGAGCTCAGCAGGTGGAGGCTGTCCAGCATAAGCACTGAACCAGGGTCAGTTCTGCCCAGCCTGGCTCCAACATTCCTGGGGCTGCATTAGATCCCTCCGGGCCCAGGGGTCTTGCACCAGTGAGGGCCCTTTTCCTCTGGAACTTACCCCCACTGCACTGGCATCCTTCAAAACTCTTCCCCCGCCCCCTCATATGTGCCTCAAGCTAAAATGGGATTTTCAAAGAGGGCTAAGTGTCTAAATCCTGTTGACTTTCAATGGGACTTGGGCATCTAGCTTCCCAAGATGACTTTGAAAGCCACAGCCTAAATCCACCACTCCCACTGTGGGATTCTGGCCATTCAAGCTTTCCTCTCGGCTCACAATGTCCCTATTACAGCATACTTTGTGCTCAGCTAGAGATCCATGATTCCTCATGCTCTAAGGAGGGAGGGTGAGGAGATGAATGCAGAAATATTAACACCAGTGGGAGGGGTGGGAATAGGAGGGAGAATAGCAGCCTCCTGGTGAGTTATTGAACTTCTCTGTCTGAGAAGCAAGGCTGGGAGTCAGAGATGAATTTACAAAGCAAGAAAGTTCAGAGACACTGTCAAAACAGAAATCTAGAGCCAGATCCTGAGCTACCACAAACCCACAGAGCTTCAGCACCAAAGGAGCATAGGCACTTCCAGACCCAGTCAGACCCATCTAGTCCAGTGTCCTGTCACCAACAGTGGCCAGTACCCATTGCTTCAGAGGAAGGTGGAAGTGCCCCATGGTGGCACATGTGGGATTATCTGCTCCCCACATTAGGTCTCATCCTGTTCCCTACTAGTTAGAGGTTTGTTTAAACCCTGAAGCATGAGGTTTAATATCCCTTCCACAACTTGTTAGCCTTAACTATTATAGCGGGATAATCTTATTATCTTTAGAAATGTCCAGTCCCTTTTTTAATCTTGATGAATTCTTGGCCTCAATGACTGCCTGTGGCAGTGAGTTCCACAGCCTAATTTTGCATTATGTGAAAAAGGATTTCCTTTATTCGGTTTTGAATTTGCCACCTTTTAATTTCCTTAAATGTCTCCTTTTTGTGCTATGAGAAAGGGCACTTATTTCCCTTCTGTCTACCTTCTTCAGGCCATTCATGTTTTATATCCTTTATCATTTTCCCCATCATGCCAATTTAGGGGATCTGGCCCCTAATATATGTGTGTGTTTGTGTGTGTGTTAATAACTCCTGAGATTAGCAACACTGAATCAACCCTGAAATCTCAGTTACTTTCCTTCACCTATTGCTGAGCACTCCAATGGGACAATGAAACTAGACCAGTCAGTTTCACTTTCAGTTTCTAATCAGTTTCACTTTCAGATTCTTATCTACTTCCTGTGTTTTGATTTCCAATCCTTCAGGGAGTGGATTAATTTCCCCTCCCCACAAAAATATTTTCATTGCTCTTTTTCCCCTTTTTTCATCCACGAAAATGTTAAAGAAAACAAAATAGCTAAATTTGGAGCCTAAACTACTTAGTTATGAGTTTCCATTTTAACATAAC